GAGAGCAGCGTGGGATAAGGTCCCTAGTCTCTGGAGCAGCAGAAAACAGAGGTGGTTTTGCCAGTTCCTTCCTATGAAACAGAGACTCCAGCACCTGAGATTCATTTGTGATCTCTCATCCAACCAGGGCTGACCTTGCAGAGCTTCAAAGATCAGATGGGATCTAGTGGCTTTAGGGTATTTAGGCATTGTGTGGTCTTCCTTATTAATAACTGTTGCCGTCTTGGCTGCAATCTGATGTTGGTTGGGCACACAGGTCCCAGTTTCCATCTACAAAATGTTGGAGAGTATGAAATCTGCAGATTACTTGACTTTCTTTCTCTGTCCTCCCCCTTGTTCTTTCCTTCTTCTATGTACTTTCTCTTTGTGGATTATTAAATCCTGGATTTCTCCTTTTCTGCTTTATTCAACTCTCCTCCAAGACATTACAGAACAGTGCTAGTATAATGGTAGTTGTAAAACAGCAAATCTTGTAAAAACAACAAAACAAATCTTGCCCCAAACCCTTGTAGTTAATCCAAATTAGAGTTTTTTTGTTAACTGCCATCAAGTTGACTTCACTTTATAGCGATTCGATGAAGGAGACCTCCAAGTCACCCAGTCATCCTCCACTCTGCTCAGGTCTTGCAGACCCAGGACCATGGCTTCCTTGACAGACTCTTCCTCTTTCCTATTGCCTTTTACCTTCCCAACTTTTTTAGTAAGTCATGCCTTCTCAGTCTCAGTTTGGCCATTTTGGTTTCTAGAGGGAGTTTAGGCTTGATTTGAACTAGGACCCATTTATTTGTCATTTTTGCAGTCCAGGGTATCCACAGAACTCTCCTCCAGCACCACATTGCAGACAATTTAATTTTGTTCCTATCAACTTTCTTCTGTGCCCAGCTTTCACAATCATACATAGAAATGGGAAATCTGATAGCATGGACCATCCTAACTTTAGTATTGAGTTATATCTCTTGATACTTCAGGATCTGATCTAGTTCCTTCTTAGCTGCTCTTTCAAGTCCCAGTTTTCTTCTGATTTCTTGACTGTAGTCTCTGTTCTGATGAATAACTGAGCCCAAAGTGTGCAAAACTAGAGTAGATCCATTGATTTAATTGTTGAATGAATTGTTGAATGTCCAGACTTCACCACCATACATAGAAATAGAAAATACGATGGCATGAACACTAACTTCAGTATTCAGTGGTAGGAGGAGTGAAAATAGGAGGAAGGAATAGCAACAATGTAAGATATACAGATGACCCCATAATACTAGCAGAAAACCTCAAGACCTGGAAGATCTACTAAAGAAGATCCAAGAAGAAAGTGCAAAGGCAGCCTTAATGCTGAACATAAAGGAAACAAAAATAATGACCACCGAGGACCTTCACAAGTTCCACCTAGGCAATGAAGAAATAGAAATAGTCAAAGAATTCCCATACCTGGGATCAAACATTGATAGCAATGGGGACTGCAGTCAGACGAAGACTAAGAATGGGAAGAGTGGCTATGAAAGAACTAGGAAAGATTCTAAAATGCAAAGTTATACAACTCAGAACAAAAGTTAGAATCATACAAGCCATCGTATTCCCTATTGCCAAGGATGGATGTGAGAGATGGACAGTTCAGAAAGATGACAGGAAGAAAACCAATGCATTTGAGAGAATGTGTTTCTGGAGAAGATGCTGAGGATCCCATGGACAGCCAAAAGGACAAACAAGTGGATCCTAGAGCAGATCAAGCCGGAAACCTCCCTGGAAGAAGAAGCCAAGATGACCAAACTGAGGCTGTCATACTTCGGACACATCATGAGAAGAGAGGATTCTTTGGAACAAACAGTAATGCTGGGAAAGATGGAGGGAAGGAGGAAGAGAGGAAGGCTCCTTCTGGGTCTGTTGGGGCTGTTGACTCTCTTTTCGGATCAGCCAGCAGCCCTTCCAGACCCAGAAGGAGCAGCAGCAGCCAACCTGTTCCAGCAGGTACAGCCAAGGGTTGGCAGAGATGCCCTGGCTGGTGGAGAAGGATGGCTTGGGGGTGTCTTGGGATGGACAGGAGTCCCAGTCTCTGGGGGCGCTCACCCCCCCCCGATGATGTGCCACCTGGTGCAGTGACTCCTCCCCGCACTCCCCCAGTGATGCCCCTGTTTAAGCCTCTCCAGTCAAGGCAAAGGGCTTAGCTGGTGGGCGCCTATCCCAATGGTGGGGGAATGGTTTGTTTAAGCCACAGGGGACTGGGATGGAGGGAGGTTGCTCTTTGGACTCCTATCAGTGAGCTAGCTGCCTCCAGCTTCCCTGTCTTTTCAATCACATTACAGGAGAATTGTGCAAAGGAAAAGCTGGGACTCTCATCATGCCAAGGCTGCTCCCAAAGCCTGGCTCTCTCTGCTTTCTCACTTGGCAGCCTGAGATCTGCAGGCTCAGCAGGTGAACCAAGAGAAAGATCCAATGCGACTCTTTTGCAATTGCCCCAGGGACGCCGTTGCTAAATTCAAGACTGAGCCGTGGCAGCTTTTCGGTGGCACTTCAGATGGGGAAGCCCTTCAAAAGTAGTGCTTCGAGTCATCTTCTGCTACGGGTGGGAAGATATTTGTAGAAAAATGGTTGGAAAACGTGTTTCTCAAGTGCTGCCTTGGTCCCAGGGTCCTTCCCTTCATCCCAACTAACATTATTATGTTTGCTTTAAGGGGGAGAAGAAGAGGCAGGCAAAGCTTCATTGTGCCTAGAAATGGCAGGGATTGCACACAACCAAAACGGAGGCTCTGATATTTCTGAACATTTGCTCCCGTTCTTCTGAGTCTGCTAAGCACACTGCATTTCTGCCTCAACACACTGCTTACCCTCACAAGTCTCGCTTTACAAAACAGCTTTACTTGATCTTTTGCCAAGCCGAGGAGGTTTGTCATTGCTTTCATCTGAGGCTGAGGGTGTGTGACTTGCCCAAAGTCACCCAGTGGGTTTATATGACCGAGCTGGGATTCGAACCCTGGTCTCCAAAGGTGTAGTCCAACACTCAAACCATTGTACTACACTGGCTCCTGTGTTATTTGCCTTCAAGCTGACTTCAACATAGATTTAGAAGCCTCAGCCAGAAATCTCTAGTGCCTTATCAGACTCCAAATCACATAAAATGCAGCCATGGCAGTTAAAGTGGAATCGTAGCACTATAATTCTGTAGTGTGAAAGGACCCCATGATTGTATTTTAGGATTGCGTCTTAGGGTCCCAGGCCTTAGCCTAGGAATTGGAGGCTGATCATACAAACAAACCCATGGCTGCGTCTACACTACAGAATTAATGCAGTTTGGCACCACTTTAACTGCCACGACTCATGGCTATGGAATCCTGGGATTTGTAGTTTTGTGAGATATTTCGCTTTATCTGTCAGAGAGCTCTGGTGCCACAACAAACTGCAAATCCCAGGGTCCCATAGGATGGAGCCTTGGCAATTAAAGTGGTGTCAAACTGCATTATTTCAGCATTATAGATGCAGCCTGTATCAGATATCCAGATATCTCTGTGCAGACAGAGCATTGTTCAAGTTTAGAATAGGGTTGCAGGATGGCTCTGCAGTGTGGCAGTAGTGTTTTCACTTTGCACTAAGGGCAGTTATCTGTGTGCTTGTGCATTATTTCTTCCCTATCTGGAATTAATTTCC